TGGAAAACTTCCTTTGCAGTAGGTGTTAGTCTTCTCATTTTGCAGACAAGTAAGTGAGACTCAGGGAGGTTCAGTGATTTACCCAAAACCACACTGCCAGTGACTGGTCAGAGTCCTGTGCCACTTCCTCCTCCCTCCCTAGCTGAGGTGTGGAGGACAGAGTCTCCAACAACGGAAGAGAAAGAAAGTGTAGGAGGGAAGGGTCAGCAGGGAGAACTCACATTTATGGAGAACCACTGCATACTAGAAATTGTGGTCTGTACTTTTCATTATCTTCTCTAATCTTCACAAATTATGCTAAAAAGCATAAGCTTTTATGCTCTCCGTTAAAAAAAGTAACGATATACATACATATTCATTATAAAACAACAAATCAGAGAATAAAGATAAACCAAAAGAAAAAATAAAAATCACCCATAACTCACCATGCAGAAATATCTGTGAATACCTTGGTACGGAGTCTTCCAGATACTCACATACACAGAATTACATACCCACTTTATGGATAGGAGAAGTGAGACCCAGAGAGGTTAAGTAACTTGCCCAAGGATACACAAGAAATAAGTTCCAGTCACGGTCTGTGTGACCTCAGGCTGCTCACTTCTCCTCTGCATTAGGTCAGTAGCTAAGATTACTTCAGATGGAGGAGCCTGAAGCCTGGCACTAGGCAAGCCCTAACAGGAAGCCCTTCCTCAGCAGCGCTCAAAACAGTGTCCTCTAGGCTTCATTCAGCCTTGCTCAGTGTCCTCTAGGCTTCATTCAGCCTTGCTCCGGGAGCCGAGCCGCATTCCCTCAGAGAGGGTGGGGAAAGAAACGTTCCCTTGCTGGGACCAGCCGCGCAGTCCCGTGACCGCAGTCAACAACCCGGGGGGCAACCCGTGGCTCGAGTGGCAGGTTGCGTTCAATGTCACAGAGCGACCAGTGCCCCACGCAGACTGTACCTAGACTCAGCCACGTGTGTGGTCCGTAGCGGGTTCCTGGACGCTGGAGTCGGGTAGCGAGCAGCCCCTCCCCGCTTTACCTCCTGCTTCCAGCTGCCTCCAGCTGTCTCCAGCGTTGTGGACGCGGCCACCGACTCTTCCCCCGGCCAGGCTCAGGTACCAGCTGGCAGTTCACTGTCGAGAGCCGTCCTGCTACAGGGAACGGCATGGGAGCCTGAGGGGCGACACCCCTTGTTCAGCTAGGCTGCAGGGGGATCCTGCGTGTGTGGCACGGCTCCGTGGAAATGCCTGTCCGCCTTTTGTTACTTGACAAAGTTTTCCAAAATTAAAAAGCCCAGCCTTTTGGCTTGGCATGGCTTTGGGGAATTCCAAGGGCCCTGAAGTTTCTCAAAGGACATGTTAAATATGTATCAGAATTAATTGGTTTATTTAAAGGGCATTGTCAGTACTAAGGTGTTTTTGATGCATGTTCCCAGTATGGGTTGGCTTGATTTAATTTTGTTGTTGATCTTTCCTGTTAGTGATGTGTGCATTGACCCATAATTTTAGAATAATTAGCTCTATAGTTGTGATCACGTTCTGTGCATGTGGAATGAAGTTACTGTGTTAAATTTTTATAAATCCACGTCTCCTAGGGAGATGGTGGGTCCGAGTGCAGTGGTGTTTACGACTAATTAATCACAACCAGTTACAGATTTCTTTGTTTTTTCTCCACTTCCACTGCTTCATTTGACTCACCAAGAATATATCATTCCATAGTAGTAATAAGAATGACGCAGTGTACTTTTATAAACTTGAGAAGGGTCATTTAACTTTTCACCTTGTTCCCTGTGCTGTTCCCGGAATCAGTTGGCAGAGATATGAAACGTTTTGTTATAGAGATAAATAAGTAAGATAGTACAAGAATATAAACAAGTTTTGATATTAACAGGTTTGTTTTAGATTAGTTTATAATTTAGAATCATTTAACAATAATAGAGATTTATTGTTATATTTTATTATATAGAATCATGATATAAGTAATATGGTTTTAGTTGGTTAAGAATTAGCATAGTTGATATAAACATAAACATTATTAAATTGCTAAACATAAGTATAAGTAAGATTAGATAAAAATTTAGAATGTAAGTTTACATATAAGTTAAGAAGGTTAAGAATTATGGTTCAAACTAAAAGTCTGACGCTTTAAAGCCAGGCATGCTACTATTGTATAGTTTCCTGGCCACAAGCCACAGACTTTGGGGTGAACTATTGATGTATGGGTAGATGTTTTTCTTTATGCATGAGCAATTTAGAACATTTTAACCTTGTAAAAGCTTGGATGGTTTGGGTCATTTAAACTTTTTTTTCTTGGATATGATATAAAAAAGTTTTGATTAAAAGATAAATCATTATGTAAAAAATAAGTGAAAAGGTATAAATAAAGCAAGGTTCATGTGGTTGTTGTCCACACTTGCACCAGACATTTGTGGTCCGCCTTTCTCTTTTTTCCCTCACCGACTCCACACCACCTATTCAGGTCCTACGAATCCTGCGGAGCTGGACTCCGGCAGTTCACTTCAGCTGGAGAAGTAAAGGAGGGATGCAGACGTGCCTCAAGTTCCTGAGTGCCAGCTCAGGAAGGATGCTTTCCCTTCTCTTCCAGAATGAGGCTCTTGTGTCTCCTTCTGAGAGAAGTGACCTAGCCACAGTGGAACATCAGATCCAGGACAAATTGGAACCGTGGCCCAGATCTCCTAATACCAGCCAGGCTCTTCCCCACTCTTTGTGACCACCCTTCCTTTTAGGTTTTTGATGGTTTGCTTTTTGTTTTACCACGCATTCTTTAAGACACGCAAAACAATAATAATATTGTGTTAATAATATCATTAGTAATACAGGGACCACCCACGTCCAGTTTAAAAACTTAAAAAATGGATCAATCCAGGTGAAGTCCCCTATATAGTCCTCCCTACTCCCCCAAGAAGTAACCACTCTCCTGAATTCGGTGCGTATCTTTCCCATATCTTATTTATACTATCACATACATATGGATCTTTGAGCAATGTTGGAATTGCTTTGCATGTGATTGAATTTTGAATAAAAAGTTTCACATTGCAAGTATGCTCCTGCAACCTGCGTTTTCATTTAGCCTTACGTTTCTGAGCTTTGTCTCTACTGATGTGTATGCTGTATCTAGTTCATTCATTTTGCTGCTGTATAGTTTTCCATTCAGTGAATACATAATAATTTATTATCCATTCTCTCGGATGTTTAGGTTCCTTCTGATTTTTTATTGTTTTCACAAACAATGATGCTTTTCCTGAGCTTTTTTCTTTTAAAATCAACTTTATTGAGGTATACTTTACAACACCCATTTTAAGTCTACAGCTTGGTGAGTTTTGACAAATGCATACATTTATATAACCACCTCCACAGTCAAAATACAGCACCTTCCATCACCTGTCACCTTCTGTTGTGCCCCTTTGCAATCAGCCCTTCTTCCCCTGAGCCTTGCCTTACGCACTACTGCTCTGTTCTCTATCCCTGTAGATCTGCCTGTTCTTGAGTTTTATATTAATGGAATCAAATAGTATGTTCTTGTTTGTGTCTGACTTCTTCTGCTCACTATAATGCCTTTGAAATACACAAAAATTCTTGCATGTACAAATAGTTCCTTTTTATGGTTGAGTAGTATATCTTTATATGGAAATACCACAATTTGTTTCTCCATCCAACTGTTTTTTTTTTTTTTTTAATTTTTTTTTTTTTAAAAGATGACCGGTAAGGGGATCTTAACCCTTGACTTGGTGTTGTCAGCACCACGCTCAGCCAGTGAGCAAACCGGCCATCCCTATATGGGATCCGAACCCGGGGCCTTGGTGTTATCAGCACCGCACTCTCCCGAGTGAGCCACGGGCCGGCCCTCTCCATCCAACTGTTAATGGATATTTAGGTTGTTTCTAGTTTGGGACTTGTAGTAGTCCATTTTCTGTTACTTATAACGGGATACCTGAAACTGGGTAATTTATATAAAAAAAAGAAATTTATTTCTAACAGTTTTGGAGGCCAGGAAGTCCAAGATCCAAAAGGCACACCCGGTGAGGGCCTTCTTCTTGGAGAGGACTCTGTACAGAGTCCTGTGGCAATGCAGGGTATCACATAATGAGGGCTGGGCAAGAGCATGCTTTAACATGCTCACTTGCTCTGCTTATGAAACCACCAGAGCCACTCCCTGATAACCCATTAAACCGTTAACCATTAATCCATTCTTGAAGGCATAGTCCTCACTATCCAATCACCTCTTAAAGACTTCACCTTTCAAATCCCATATTGGAAATTAAGTTCCAACATGAACTTTAGAAGGGACAAACATTCAACCCATAGCAGGACTGTTATGAATAAAGTTGTGATAAACATTTTTGTACATATGCTTTCATTTTTTTTTTTTTTGGACATGTGTTTTCATTTCTCTTTGGTGAATACCTAGGAGTGGAATTTCTAGATTATAGTGTAGATGTGTTTATAACTTTATAAGAGATTGCCAAACTGTTTTCCAGAGAAGCTGTACTATTTTGCATTTTCACCAGCAATGTGTAAGAGACAGAACACTATCTATATCCTCCCGAGCACTTGGTATTGTCAGTATTTTTCTATTTTAGCTGTTCTTGTAAATGTGAAGTGGTATATCATTGTGGCTTTAATTTGTGTTTCCCTAATGGCTCATGATGAACATCTTTTCATGTGCTCATTAGCCATTCATATATCTTCTTTGGCAAAATGTCTGTTTTGTCCATTTTTTAGTTAGGTTGTTTATCTTCTCTATTTTATTTTATTGTAAATTGACAAATTGTAATTGTATGTTTTTATGGGGTACAAAGTGATGATATATGTATACAATGTGGAATGGCTAAGTAACATATCCATCACCTCAAATACTTATTTTTTTGTGGTGAGAATATTGAAATTTATTCTCATCAATTTTGAAATATATAATACATTATTATTAACTACAGTCTCCATGCTTTGCAATAGATCTTAAAAAACTTTTTTCTCCTGTCTAATTGTACATTTTGACCAATGTCTTCCCATTCCCCCAACCCATATCTCTGGTAACCACCCATCTACTCTCTGCTTCTATGGGTTTTATTGTTTTAGATTGTATGTATAAATGAGAAAATGCAGAATTTGTCTTTGTGTGCCTGGCTTATTCCACTTAGCCTAACATCCTCCATAAAGATGTAAGGTTCGTACATGTTGTCACAAATAATACAGTTTCCTTCTTTTTAAAAGTATTTCATTGTGTATACATACCACATTTTCTTTATCCATTCATCTGTTGATGGACACATGGTTGATTTCATAACCTGGCTATTGTGAATGATACTGCAATGAACATGGGAGTACAGATATCTTTTCAACATACTGATGCCAAATCCTTTGGATATACAGCTGGAAGTGAGATTGCTGAATCACATTGTAATTCTATTTTGAGTTTTTGGAGAAACCTCCATATGGTTTTCCATAATGTCTGAACTAATTTACATTCCCACCAGCAGTGTACAAGGGTTCCCTTTTCTCCACATCCTTGCCAACACTTATCTTTCATCTTTTTGATAATAACCATTCTGACAGGTATCAAGTGATATCTCATTGTGGTTTTAATTTGCATTTCTCTAATGATTAGTGATATTGAGCATTTTTTCATATATCTGTTGCCCATTTGTGTGTCTTCTTTTGAGAAATGTCTATTCAAATCCTTTGCCTATTTTTTAATTGGGTTATTTGTTTTCTTGTTATTGAGTTGTTTGAGTTCCTTATATATTTTGGATATTAACCCCTTATCAGATATATGGCTTGTAAATATTTTCTCCTGAACTGTAGGTTGTCTCTTCTCTCTGTTAATTGTTTCCTTTGTTGTGCAGAAGCTTTTTAGGTCTTATAATTCCATTTGTCTCTATTTGCTTTTGTTGTCTGAGCTCTTGGGATCAAATCCAAAAAAATCATTGTCCAGATCAATGTTGTATAGTTTTTCCTCTATGTTTACTTTTAGTAGTTTTGTAGTTTCAGGTCTTATGTTTAAGTCTTTAATCCATTTTGAGTTGATTTTCGTCTGTGATGAGACATAAGGATCCAGTTTCATTTTTTCTGCATGTGGATACCCAGTTTTCCCAACACCCTTTTTTTTTTTAAAGAGACTGTGTTTTTCCCATTGTGTGTTCTTGGCACCTTTGGATCAAAAATTGATTGACTAAAAATGCATGGGTTCATTTCTGGTCTCTCTATTCTGTTCCATTGGTCAATGTGTTTATTTTTATGCCAGGATCATGCTGTTTTAATTACTATAACTTTGTAATATAGTTTGAAATCAGGTAGTGTGATTCATTTAGCTTTGATTTTTCTGCTCATGATTGCCTTGGCTGTTTGTGTGTGTGTGTGTGTGTGTGTGTGTGTGTGTGTGGTTCCATATGAATTTTAGGATTGTTTTTTTCTATATCTGTGAAAAATAACAGAATTTTGATAGGGAGTGCATTGAATCAGTATGTTTACCTTCTTATTGAGTTGTAACAGTTCTTATATATTCTGAATACAAATCCTTTATTAAATACACATACACATACACACATATATATTTGGTGGCTGGCTGTTAAGGGGATCTGAACCCTTGACCGTGGTGTTATCGACACCATGCTCTAACCAAGTGTATCAAGTATATTATAATAAATATTTTTTTCTCAGCCTGTGGCTTGCCTTTTCATTTTCTTAAAGGTGTTTTATTCTTTTAAAATATTTTTATTTAGTCTTTTGTTTTCAAAGGTATTCTTAAAAAAGCAAAATTTAAAAAATTTTTTGTATTAAGGTTAGTCTTTTTTGTGTTCTATTTTTTTTTTTTTTTAAATCTTTAGGGCCGAGCCCGTGGCGCACTCGGGAGGGTGCAGCACTGGGAGCACAGCAGTGCTCCTGCCGCGGGTTCGGATCCTATATAGGGATGACCGGTGCGCTCACAGTGCTCATTGGCTGAGCACGTTGTGGCCGGTCTCAAAAAGGACAAAAATAAATAAATAAATAAATAAATAAATAAATCTTTGCCTACTCCAAGATTGAGAAGATTTTTCTCATTTGTTTTCTTCTAGAAATTTTGTAGAAATTCTAGAAATTTCTACGAAGTTTCTATAAACTTTAGCTTTTGCATTTATGTCTCTGATCCATTTTGAGTTAATTTTTTAAAATTTTTTCCTCATTGAATTATCTTGACACTTTTGTCAAAAATCAATTAACCATATATGTGTGGATTGTCTATTCTATTTCATTGATCTGGTCTATCCTTCTATCCTTAAGCCAGTACCACTCTGTCTTAGTTACTGGAGCTTTTTAAGTAAGTCTTGAGATTAGGTAGTGTAAGTCCTCTAACTTTGTCCTTATTTTTCCAAGTTGTTTTTGTGATTTCAGGTTCCTTGCATTTGCCTATACATTTTAGAATCAACTTGTCAATTTTTACAAAAAAAGAAAAAAAAACTTGCTGGGATTTTGCTTGGGATTGCATTGAGTCAATAGATCAGTTTGAAGAGAATTAACACCTTGATATTGAGTTTTCCAGTCCATGAACATGGTGTATCTCTTTATTTATTTAGTTCTTCATTTATTTAGTTAAATTTAGGTCTAATAAAACTCAAGTGTTTTACGCTATTTAATTTTACAGGTCTTGTGCATATTTCATAAAATTTGTCCCTTTTCTTATTATTCATGCTATTATAAATGGCATTTTAATGTGACTTTCCAATTGTTTGTTACTAACAAATATAAAAATATAATTTATTTTTGTATTTTCACCTTGTATCTTGCAATCTTGCTAAATTCACTTATTACTTATTAGTTCTAGTAGCTTTTTTTGTAGACTTCTCAGGATTTTTTATGTACATGATAATGTTGCCTGTGAATAAAGGCAGTTTTACTTTTCCTTTGTGCCTTCATTCCTTTGTGCCTTCATTCCTTTGTGTGTTTTTGTGTAAGTTGGAAAAAAGTGCCCCTTCCTTTGGCCTGATTTAGCTCTATGGCAAAGGCAAGACTTAGTAATTAGAGCTCAGGATAGACTTCTACTCCCATTTGTTCCTTCTGCTGGA